AAGGAATGTTCTTGGGCCTAAAGGGAGGGTGAAGATGAGAGCAGAGCTGTGCTGTGGCTTAGGATGTAACCTTGCCCCTTTGTTATAGGAGCTTTGTGGTAGTTCAGATTTGCAGGAGCCATGGAAATGTGGTGTGGAAGAAGCAGGAGAAAGAGCTCATATGTGTGGTGTATTATCAAGTGCTTCATCCACCCCATTAATCATTACAGCTGCTCTATTGTTCTCCAGCCATGGGGTAAGGCACAGCCTTGCACGGGGACTCCCAAGCATTGCCCTCTGGAAAATGGGAGAGACACACTTGGGAACTGCAGCACTGAGCTGCTTTGGTTAGTATTCAGTTAAAAAGAGCTTTTTTTTCCTGTTAACTCCTCCCAGTTTGGGCTGGTTTAGGTGAGTTGGAACACAGCACTGTGTGTTGGCAACTGTTAGCCTCGATCTTGTTCGTGTACTGCTCATCACTCTTCGCCTGTCTCATGTGCTGGTGACCTCAGCACACCTTTTCTTCCTATAAAATCCTGTGAAATCAGCAAGTAGTAAAGATGAAGAGGTAGTTCAGCTCTTCTGCCTCAGTCATTGCTCTCTAGGAACTGCTGTGCTCTAGGACCCAGGAGAAGTCTTTGTTTTCATACTGAATTTCAGAAAATACTGATCTATATTGGGTTCAAATCATAGAATCATAGACTGGTTTGGGTTGGAAGGACCTTAACGATCATCTAGTTCCACCTCTGGCCATGAGCAGGGACATCTTCCACCAGCCCAGGTTGCTCCAAGCCCTGTCCAACCTGGCCTGGAACACTTTCAGGGATGGACCAGCCACAGCTTCTCTGGGCAACCTGTGCCAGTGTCTCACCACCTTCACAGGGAACAATTTCATCCTAACATCCAACTTAACCCTCCCCTCTGTCAGTTTGCATCCATTCCTCCTTGTCCTGGCACTCCATGCTCTTGTAAAAAGTCCCTCTCCAAATAATAGATTCCTAGATTGTTAAGGAGTTGGAATGCCCCTTTCATGTGGTTTCTCTGTATGATCCAGCAGTGAAAATTCCAAGTACCAACTCACCCTCTAGGGCTTTGGCATCTCTGCTTGCCCTGGTTGCCTGATGCAGCATCTGCCTGCAGGATCTGGGGAAGGGAAAGCAGTCTGAGTGGGGCTGTGGGATGGCTGTTGTGTTTTCCATGGCTCTGATCACCCTGTCCACTGCAGGGAGGGCACAGTGTTGCCTGCCTGGACCAGGACATTTCTGCACTGCCTTTTCCTCCTCTTTAAGGGATCATCCTTGTTGGCTAGGGAGAACTCTAGTTGCCTAAGTAACAGGAAAAGCTAAAAGAACCCCAATTATTTCCTTCTTTTCTCTCTTTTCTCATCAAAGCTTGGCATTCTTTCCATGTCCCTTCCCGCTGCACAACTTGTGTGGTCCAAGCTGATGTGTCTTGCAGGAAGGATCAGAAAAGTGAGTTTAAATTCTAACAGCAAAGTTGCCAAGGGTTTTTTAGTTGAGATGTTTGATTTCCTGTGTAAGGGGCACTGCAGGCAATGCCTAGTGAGGAGCTGCCATCTGGCTGATGAGATAAACCTTGCTGTGGTGGCTCAACCACTTTCCCTTCCTCTCTCATGATTTGTCTTTGTCTTCACTTGAAATAGCCTCACACTTCCTGGGCCTCCAGGGGTGTTGAGCTGCAGCCAGTGTGACACTTCTTCACCTGCTGCCTTGGAGTTTGTGGCTGTTTAGGACATCCTGAAGGTTGCAGCAGAGCACGATGTTCTCTGAATATCATTTAAGCAAAGCTTTGTGATGCCCTGTGGAAATGAGGTGGCGGAAGGGGACCAAGATGTGTGTGCACAGCTCTGTGTCTAGGTCAAGGGGGTGGAGAGTAAGTCATATGAGGAGTGTCAGAGGGAACTGGGGAAGCTCAGCCTGGAGAAAAGGAGGCTCAGGGGAGACCTCCTCACTTGCTACAACTCCCCAACAGGACATTGGAGCCATATGGGGTTTGGGCTCTTCTCTCAGGCAACCAGTGACAGGACAAGAGGAAATGGCCTCAGGCTGTGCCAGAGGAGGTTCAGTTGGACATCCCCAGGAATTTCTTCATGGAAAGGGCTGTCAGGCATTGGAATGTGCTGCCCAGGGAGGTGGTGCTGGCACCATCCCTGGAGGTGCTCAAGGAACAACTGGACGTGGCACTCAGTGCTCTGATCTAGTTGCCAAGGTGGTGATGGGTCACAGGTTGGACTCGATGATCTTGGAAGTCTTTGCCCACCTCAATGATTCTGTGATTCTTTAGAGGTGAGGACCAACATCTCGTCTCCTTGGAGCTCCAGTTTGGCCTTCAGCAGGCAGAGAGTGCTGCTAAGGAGATGATGCCATTGTAAAGTCTCTTCTGATCACAGTTGTCACCTTCTGTATTTAATCAGCACATCCAGTCTTGAAGACGTTGAGTTAGATGATAGAACTTGAGAGTCTTTGGGATGTTTTTACCACTGTGAGTGGAACAGTGAGACTACTGGTGAGGTTTATAGTCAACTGTTGTTCCATTAACAGTAGCTATAAACCATCTCTCAGCCTGGGATGGGACCAGGGGTTTTACTGCAAGAGGTTTCCTCTCCTGTGTCATTTTTCAGTGCAGCCCTCCCAGTTAGCTGCTGCTTTAGAGGCTTTGTTTTCCTACTGCTTATCTGATTATGCTTCAGCAATGCAGTGTTTATAGCATCTCTCTGACCTCCCTGTTAGCTCAGCTGGGCAACAGAGAAATGGGAAGAAATTCCTTAGCAAGCTCATCCTATTCTGTTTAGAATTCACTCTTTGCTAGGCTGTTCCAGAGGAGGAGCGTCCTTTGGCTTTTGAACAAAGGGACAAGTTTGGCTGCTCTGCTTCAATTTAAAGGCTGTTCAAGTTGGGATTTTCCCCTTTTTTTTAGCAGTAAACTATAGCTATGTATTCCTATGTCCAAAATTTACCACTGTGGCATTTAGCAAAGAGATTGGAGTGAAATGAAGGTTCAAAGACAAAACTGAAGTGAGAGAACATCAGGCTTTAGTGTGGAAGGGACAAAGAACCTTGAAAGGGATGGATGGATCCAGTTCTGATTAAAGCTGGTTAGCTCTGAGATTCATGAAGGAAACAAGACTGGAATGAGTGTATGTATATGTATTTATATATAAATGGTGTATACATATATATATTAATGGTGTATGTCACAGAATCATAGAATTTAGGAGTTGGAATGGATCTTAGAGATCATCCAGCCCCAACCCTCTGCCCTGGGCAGGGACACCTCCCACCAGAGCAGGTTGATCAAGGCTTTAGCCAACCTGGCTGTGAACACTGCCAGGGTTGGGGCAGCCACAGCCTCCCTGGGCAACCTGTGCCAGTGTCTCACCACCCTCACAAGGGAAAACTTTTTTTCTCACATCCAACCTAGACTTTCCCTCCTTCAGTTTGAGCCCATTACCCCTTGTCCTATCACTGCAGTTCATAACACAGAGTCCCTCGCCAACTCCTGGTAGGCCCTTCAGATATTGAAAAGGTGCTCTGAGGTCTCCACACAACCTTCTCTTCTCCAGGCTGAACAGCCCCAAATCCCTCAGCCTGTCTTCATAGGGGCTATGATCCAGTCTTCCAACTGAGAGACAAGGATGTCATGCAGGACAGTGTCAAATGCCTTGCCTAAGTCCAGGTAGAACAGAACAACCTCTAAAAGCACCTGAAACTGATCTTTTAGCCAAAGATTTCCTCTATGTGTTTTCATCAACACAAATTACCCCTTAAAAAGGGGTTTCTGCCTAAAAGATTCCCAGCAGAAGCTGCTGCTGGTACACAGGGTTGAGTGACATTGTATATCCCCCAGATATCATTGTGTCTTGTCATTTTGCTGATGAAACAGCAAAGTTTAAGGCAACTCAGTGTCAGCAGGCAAAAACCTCCAAGTAAAAAGCTACCAAGCTTCAATTGGTTGTTGTGTGCAGAACTGCCAAGGCAAAGAGGAGTTTGAATATTCTCTAGCCCAAGGACTTGGCTCTTCTTCAAACATTTCCAGCTCCAAAAAGATTGGAAATGTGGCAAGTGCCTGGGCCCCCTCTAGGGGAAAAAATGTGGAATCAGTTCAAACCAGGGGAGAAACATTTGCTTGGGGTGTGTGATCTGGGGGTTAACCACAGCGAGGAGGGATGGATTGGTGCTGGGGTTGAGGACGGAGCTGCCTCAGCATCTCCCTTGCAGGCCTCTGCTTTCAGCCTGCTCTCACTTGAACTTTTCAAATGGCTTGAAAAACATGCTGCTGCTTTTCTAGGATAGTGTTTGAAATCTATTTTCTGCAGTCAGGCTCCTGCTGTGACAAAATCAGGCTGTATTTGATCCCTCAGTGTGTGTTATCACCCTTGAGCTGTGCTGTGTGTGTACCACTTAGAGGAGGAGAAATGCCACATGGAGCCTTGAGCAGGAACACCCAGATTATCCCAAGGAACCTGCCAGGAAGTGAAAATCACTCCTCAAACTTCAGGGCTTTAACTATGGGAGTCAGAGATACTGTGTAAACATGAAGGACGTGCTGGTTGTCGTGGCTGTGGTGGCCACAGAGTTGTGTGACTTGGGTGGTCGTGTTTGTTTGTCCTGGCAGTGCTTGCTCAAACGTGAGTCCTGTATGAAACCCTTTCAGCAAGTTTTGGATGTTTGAGAAGCTACAGAATCCTTCTTTCACACTGGTCTTTTGCCTTTTCACAGCTCAGGCTCAGGTAATTCATCCAAATGACATTTTCTGGGTGCACATGAGTGTCCTGGACCTCAGGCTGTGCTGCTGGAGAAAGATTCCACTTTTAAATGACACACAGGAGCACATCCTCCTCCCTCACCTATTCCTGCCTGCTGCTTTGGAAGTTTAGCCTGATTTATGTGGAGAGAGGGATGTGTTTGGCTTTTAGGGGATTGGCTTTTAGGGGATCCCAACCAGAACCACTTCAGTGTATATATGACCTACACTCACTTTCCCTCTCTTCTCTCCTCAAGGTGCTCTTACTGAGTGTTACGATGAGCTGGGCAACCGCTACCAACTCCCTGTCTACTGCCTCGCCCCACCTATCAACATGATAGAGGAGAAGGGTGACCTGGAGACTCTGGATATCCCTGATCCCCCTCCAAATTCCGGGCATGAGTGCCAGCTCCGGCTCCGGCTGTCCACAGGCAAAGACCTGAGACTGGTGGTTCGCAGCATGGACACTGTGTACCACATGAAGCGGCGGCTGCACGCGGCCGAGGGTGTGGAGCCCAACAGCCAGCGCTGGTTCTTCTCAGGAAGGCCCTTGGCAGACAAAATGAAACTGGAGGAGCTGAAAATCCCAAAGGACTACGTGGTGCAAGTGATTGTGAGCCAGCCCTTAGCAAATCCCACCCCAGTGGAGAACTGAGTGCTGTTTGGGTCTTCAAGGCTTCTTCTCTTCATCTTCTGGCATGGGGTTTGTTCTCACTGCCCTCTTGGTCTTTTTGGGGTTGTCCTGCTAATGGATTGATGCCAGGAAATGACCAGCAAAAATTCCATCTGTGATGGAGAGCTGCAAAACCTGAGCTCTCTGAGGTTTGTCTGAGCTCATGGTCAACACACAACAAGCAGCATGGAGAAGGGCAAAGAAGGAAGGGAAAGGAGGGAGGGAAGAGCTTGTTGTCACTTGATACAGATGTATAATGATCTGAAAGCTGTTGGTGGTGTCCTGATCCATGAGGCCAGAGCACCAGAGAGCACTTTTATTTAAAAAGCAAACAAAAACTACTCAATGGATCCGATTTCATATCAGCTCCTGCAAGGGTCACAGCTGCTCTGGGAAGGTCCCACACAGCCTGTTTGCAGGGATCCTCTCAGGTCTGAGGAGGCACCACTGAGGCACAGTTGGCCCCAGGGAGCAGAGCTGGGCTGGGGGTTGGTCCCTGGGCCATGCTGGTGACTCCTGGTGCTGCTGAGCCTGAGCAGATGCACATTCCAAGCTGGCAATGCAGCCCTGTGCCATTGCTGGCTCCTTGGCGGGGGGACACAGCCCCACGGAGCCTTGGGCAATAACTTACTCCATGTATACTCTCATGTACTGTACTGTAATCTTCCCTGTTACAAGACTGACTTGGCCTGAAGTCTCCTGGCTGACAGGCACCTAAGGCTGTGCCTGCTGAATCCCTGTCCCTCAGAGCATGAGAGGAGGCTTTCCTGAAGCCTCTGGGGTGAGCAGTGCACTGCTCTGTGCATCACTGGTGTCCCAGGTGCAGGGTAAGCTGCAATTCCACCCAAGTGCAGTGGGTTGTAGCTTCCCCTGCTTTCCTGCGGGCCACAAAGCGTGGAAGAGGGTGAGGAGGATACAACAGCACAGTTTTCAGCTGGAAGCAGCAGCCAGTCTTCCAGCTGTGGTGACCCAGGACAGCTGGGGTTGTCCTCACCAGCACGCACCCATGGCCTGCAGCGTGGCCATGAGATTTCACAGCCAGTGCTTTTCCCTCAGAATGTAAGAGAGGCTCTTTCAGGAAAAGACAGATCCTTTTGTAGTCTCAAAATTCCAAATCAGAGCATCCTGGGGTGGAATCGAGTTGCTCTCTGTGGCTGTGGCTGCTCTCCACCCCTGCCTGGCAATGCCTTTGGTTGAGATCAATGCCCTGTTCCTTTGAACCATGATTTCTAGTTGAGTTTTAAGCCATCACTGCAATGATTTCACTTCTTCCAAAGTCAAATGTGCTATTTGTGTGTGAATAGCATATTTTTAGTGCTTGCTGTGTCTTCCCTCTCTGAATTAATGGCGGAAGGTTCCAGTGGTCACAGCTCTTCTCTGCTAGTGCCACTGGTGGGTTACACTGACAGCTTAAACTTGGTACTTTTTTGTTCCTTCATTAATTCCAGAGAAGTTTCTGGGACTCTAAGGGAGTTCTTGCCCCATGAACATCAGCACAGAGCCAGGACCATCACTTGGACACCACCATGAGTCTTTCCCAGCAGGTGGAAGCAGAACTGACATTGATATTGGGAAGCAGATGGACATTTAGATGCATTTCCCACCCTGTCCCACATGAATGAAGTTTTGGTCCTGGTGTTGTATCCTGCCTGTGGCTTCTGACATCTCCATTAGCCCCACTTGGGTATGAGATGCCTGAAGTGCAGTGACAGAGCTGCAGAGCAAAAGGAGTTCCCTCACACAGACACCAAAGTGACTTGATTCTCTTCTCTTCTTGTTTCCTTTTTAAAGCTGAAAGCAAAGCTGAGAAATACTAACCTAGGACAAGTTTTCTATCGTGCAGGTTTTTTTCAGAGGCAAATATGATTTACTCTACTGGAGATTTTGCAGCCAAATCTTTTGCATTCCAACGGGGGAAGAATATTTGATACATAAACAAGGCAAAAACCTCTTGGATTTTCTCTGGGCAAAGGGTGATTTCAAGCCAGGGAGATCCTGGATGTCTCCTAAGGCATAACTTAGCTGTGTGTATAAACACTGTCATTTCCCTGCAGTCCCTCTGGAAGGGGGAAAATCCTGATGGAGCGAAGGAGGAGCAAACCAGGGTGACAGTTCTGGGACTGTGAACACTAAAACATGACTTTTTTTTTCTTTTTCTTTCTTTTTCTTTTTTTTTTTTTTTTTGCTGTTGTTGAATCTTTTAGTTTTTTCTTCTCTTTTCATCCAGGCAATTGTCCCCAGGTGCTGGTTTGGAGAGGACAATGTGTAAGGGGTAGGAGATCTCCTTCCCCTCTCCACCTCCTAATTGGGAAAGGTTCAGATTTATTACACTGTTCTAGATGACCATATGAACTGCTTTTGTGGCAGGGAGAAAGGTGATGATCTGAAGGGGTTTTGAGTAGAACAGAGACTTGGTTCATCAAGCTACTCTCTCCTCTAACAGCCTCTCCTTAATCATGTATCAAAACCTCAGAGCTCAAGGGGAAAATGCTTTCAGAGGGGACAGTGAAGACTTTCAGCCTCTCTGTGCAAAATGACAGAGGTGCTAAGTACATTCCCTGCAGAAACTGCATTTTGCAAGGTTTGTATTAGGAAATACTGTTAAATTTCAGTATATGCATTATAAAGGGTCACTAATGAAGGTGCACAGGCAGGGAGCAGCTTGGCTCATGTGTCCCGTGTCATAGGAGAGGACATTTCTGCCCCTGAAATGCCTTGTCTTTGTCCTGGGAGGTGATTTTGGTTCAACTCCCAGTGTAGGGGAGTGAATTTGGGTTCCTCTGGGCTGAGTTTTGGGGACAGAGGAGCTCCCCCCACATTCCTGGGGGAGGAAAAGCTTGTTTGATGCAGAGCAGAACAGGCAGAGCTCCAGTGAGACTAAAGCACCCAGTGGGGATTGGTGCAGAGCTGCACTTAGGGCACTGGTGGCTGCTCAGGAGGGGATGGATAGGGCACATTGGTGGGTGCAGCTGTGTTTTGCAGCAGGAGGATGTTGGCAGCATGGCCTGGGCTGTGTTTGGCCACTGGGTGACACTCAGGTGTCTTGGTATAAGTGCAGTGATGCACAGGTTGTTTACCACACACCACCACATCCTGCAGTGCCAAGAGCAGAGGAGTGAGGAGCACTAGGTTGGGGTTATTAACTC